GTTCGAGAAGGAATAGGTACGAATGTTCTTAATTCAATGAAGTTAAATATGTTTTTAGTTCTAAACTGTAACGTGAAATTGAAGTCCTTGTTTACTTGAATGGATTTGGGGAAGAGTGATTGGATGAATTTAAGAGGATTTGAAAGTAAATCTTTTGTTGTTTATTTGAGTTGATTTTGGAGGTAAGTGAGAGTGAATTTGGAAGTAAATTTTTTTAATTTATCATATCAATCAAATTCTACACTAATTCTCACAAACTTTACTTCCAAATTCACTCTCACTTACCTCCAAAATCCACTCAAATAAACAACAAAAATATTCACCTTCAAATCATCTCAAATTCATTTAATCACTCTCCCTATCCATTCAAGTAAACAAGGACAAAATGTTTTTTATCTTAAATTTTGATATAATTTGTTTCTCAAATCAAATTTTTATGTTGACGTTTTAGTTGGTTTTGACGTATTCCAACTCAAATGTCATAAGAGAAAATAATTAGATTAAAATGATTATATTTATTTATTGTTGAAGTTTGACTAAAATATATTAAAGTTTACGACAAAAACGAATTTAAATTTCACAGTTTAAGAATTACAAACATCAATCGATGGTTTTTGTTCTTTTCTTACTATTATTTTACATGTTATTATTGTGATGCAGAAATTGTTATTTCTGGTGGCATGTCAATACCTAAAATATTAACGATCGTGGATGCTCATACCAATTTTGCACCTAGAAAGGCAACATATGCATCAAAAGTATAATGACGACAGTGTATTTTATGTTAAGAGTAGTTCAACTTTAGATTTTCCTTGACCTTAATTAGTAAATATGTTTTTTATTTTTTTATCTATATATTTAATCGCTCAACTATGTGCTCTATGTATGCTTAAAAATATTTGCAAAACTTCATTCATATTAATCGAATGGTTAACATGATGTTTAGTTTAGGCTATCGTTAACACATATATAAAAAGTATTTCCTGGCCCACATAATTAATTTTAGTTAAATAAAAACACTAGAAATATAGAATATAACAATAGTAATTATGAGTATAAAACATTTAAAGTATTTAAACAAAATTAACGTAGATGATAAGTGGTCAATAGGGAGAAATCTTCATTTGAATGAAAAGTTTTAAAAACATTGTCCTCAAATTTTATTATCATCTCACATGACACACAAATCAAATCTTCAAAATAAAAATCTCTATATACCATATTTTTTGGACATAACATTTACAAACTCTTAAAATTTACACATTCATTTTATTTACATCTTAGAAATTTTTAAAATTTACTATCTATAAACTTTAGTAAAGTTAATATTTTTATTTCAAAATTTCCCTCCAACTTTTGTTTAGGTCTAATAAGATGGGTTGTGACCCGCAGGTCAGTCCGCCAAAACAGGATGGATCAGATTGAAATTTTTAATCTGTTGGTCTGTTTTTCCTCGTCCCACCTAGCTTGTAAAATTGATGGGGATTAGTCCATCCCTACCTGACCCGTTTTGTTTTTATTTTTCATTTTTTAATTTAAAAATTAGAATTAAAAAGATTAAATTTTCAATGTTATATTTTTGTAAAAAAATAAATATAAAATATTATTATTATTTAAACCATTAAAGCTTACAAGTAATGTTATGATTATTAGTTTAATAAAGTAATTTATAATTTATCTAATTAAAAATATTAACTAATTAGTTAAAAGTTTGAAAAATATTTATGACTAAAAATATTTTGAATATTTATTTACAAGTATATATACAAACAAATTTTAAAATTAAAAATTACAAAAAAATGAAAAAAGTGGCGGGCCAGTTTGCCGTAAACGGGCCAAGTTGACCCTATTTGCCACCCTTACTTTAATTGTTTTTCAAATCAGAATTTTCTTTAACAATCTCAACATGTAAACGTCTATGGCTAAGTTATTAATTAATATTTCTAACATTTTCACATGCAAAAGTAGAATGACATGTTAATAGGAGAGCTATTTACAGCTGAACTCATATCTCATATATGTATTTTTGATAATGACAACAAAAATATTTTATAGTTTCTTGCATTACAATATGGCGAAACTGTTGCTTGATTATATCTCTGTATGTGCTTGAACTATATGTGATGTGTATTCATTACTTATAATAATGAATCATTGATTAAAACACTTTGCACATTGCTTATCTGTATGAATTAATGGATTACACTGTTTGTATAATCTGTTAGATTCATCATATATCAGTATATACTTAACTGTGGCAAAACATCACGTTTTAACCGATTAGATTATGGATATAATCGATTAAAACTCGTGGTTATGCCTACACATGTTTTACTTAGTGCATTGATATGTTTTGAATGAAAAAGTTTTCAAAATTTGCTTAAGTATGGAACTTAACCGATTATATTAATTTCTTAATCGGTTAATATGCGTTGTGTATGAAACCCTTTTTCATAAATAGCATTAACTGTCTTAACGATCATATTTTTAAATATTATGGTTTATGTGTTTTGATTAATCGATTACATGTACTTCTTAATCTGTTAAATGTTGTGAAATGTAAATCTATTAATGCTGAAGGAATTGCTTACCCGATTACATTGTTTGTGTAATCGATTAAATTGTGTCGAAGTTGAGAAAATCTATAAATAGATGCATTGCTATCTGTATTCAACAACTTTATGATTCATATTTTTAATATCTAACTTTGTTTGTTGAGATTTTATTACAGGAGCGTCTGAAACTCTCCAAGAATCAAGACTACCACATTTGGAAGAAATTCTCAAAGATTCTTGATGAATTGAAGAATTGTCATTGGCTGATCATATCTGAACTATTGAGGTGTATTTTCTAGAGATCAGATTTACTTGCAATCAAGGATTGTGTTCCTTGTTGCTGCGACCAGGAAGAGAACTCGGTGGAGTTCTTTGACTTAGAGTATGATATCTCTAAGGGTGACAGAAATAGGGTATTTTTTCTGGGTTGCTATAGTTGATTTGGAGTTAGGAAGGAGACTACATTGAAAGGAGTGATCTCTGTATTTCTTGCTTGTAAGAACTTAAATCAATATAGTGGAATTCTTTCAATCTAATAAGGTTGGTTGAAAGAAGAATGGATGTAGGTAGTGGCCGAACCAGTATATTTCACTTTGTGAATCTCTCTTTCCCGATACTTTTGCATTATTATTCATTCTTTATTGATTCCATTCCAAGAAAGATCAAAAGATTTCAAAAAGATTTTCAAAGCACTTATTTTTACAAGGGAAACCAATTCACCCCTTCCTCTTGGTTGGAACATTTGGCCTAAACTATTTCTGCAAGACATCACAAAATAGGTTACTTACTTATAACTTAACTTTTAGATTAAAATTAGTTTTTCTTTTCCAGAATTCCTTATACTTTGAAGTAAAAAGTAACAAATAAATAAGTCATTAATCTCTTCATTGTGTCAAATCCTAACCATAACCATTGTTGACAGGGGGAGCATTAGACTCCACATATTTCAAAGATTTTAAAATCTAATTCACCCCCTCTTGGCTTGAGATATAAGGGTTACTTTTCTAACAACCATAACGCATAATCAAAATCTCTTGAAACTTCAATATACAAACTAAAAAAAAAATCAAGGTTAACTCGCGTAGTATTTGAAGTAAAAGGATAAAAGTTTTGATCCTTGGAAAGTCACAGATATACCCTTACATCCTGGAAGTTCACATTGAACTCATGTACTCGTGAAGTTTTTGGTTTCTTTAGACAATAAGGTGAATGTCTCTACGGGTTGTGAATTCCGACAAAGCCTAAAGATTCATCTCATCTCAAATCGCCACGAATTGGGCTAGGGCTCTTAGAGTGACATCTTGATGATTGTTTTACTCTTGCCCCACGATGGATTCCAAATGTTTTATCAGTTCTAAATTTTTGGTTTATAAGACATGTGATGGAATCTTTTGATACATATGCAAGGTAGGTTAGTCCAAACAGAAAAAAAAATCCAATTACAAAATATTTATGATGTTTAAGTAAGTAAAAACTTAAGGTTTATTTACAGTATAAGTGAAAGTATAAAAAATGATTTTGTATGTTATACTTTCTTACGAAACTCTTTATAAACTATGAGATATAGTAATCATGTTTGAATATCTTAAAAATAATAGTAGATAATCATCTAAGAAATGAGGCACAAATAATATATGCATCTATATGCATTGAATATCTACCATTAATAAAGATTGTGAAACTTCAATGAGCATTAAGAAACATTTTACTTTCACTTTTCTTTTTTATATCTATTTTTAGGGATTAGTGACAATATCATTCTTTACAAAACAGTTTTAAATACTGCCTTACAAAAAATCATGTTTTTATTTTTGATTATTCCATATTGAATCTCTAGTCTCACTCAAGTTAGTTAAGTCCATTTAGTTTGTGGGGCTCTATATGCTTTCTAATTTTCTCTCCTTTCGTTCCTTTCTCTTTTGGTATAATCTCTTTTTTTTAATTTAATAAATTTTAATAAGTCAATTATTATTTAAATATTTTTTAAATAAGATACAAAGTCAAAATGTTACATTAATCATATATATTAATTATAACAGAAAATAATAAGTAAATTATTAATACTTTTTTATTACTAAATATTTTCAAGGGTAAAAATGTATATCAATTATTTTTCTATAAATTGATGTTTAGCCTTCACGAAACAGCATAAGTGAGATTCACCTTTTGCAGAATTTCATAATCTTAAAGATAACTTAGAAAAGAATTATGGGGAAAATTGAGATAAAATCTATTGGGGTTATGATTACGATTATGATTTTGTTAAATTTTGCAAAACCCGTATTAAGTGTTAGTTTTTTATGTGATTTCAAGTGTAGAATTCGATGTTTTTTTGCTGGAATTTCCGAAGGCTTGTTTGAAACATGTATGGGTCATTGTGAGTCACACCATTGTAGCCAATTATCCAATCATCCTTTTTATAATTGTATAAGTGATTGTAACTTAATGAAGTCTAACGTTATCAACGATGGTACGTATTATTAAATATGTTGTTCTATCATGGTTATATATTGTTTTTTTGATGCTTTATTTTAATATTTTTTTCTCATGAATTTTATATTTTATTTGCTTGTTTATGAATTTGACCATTTATTTTACATGTNTTTTCAATTTACAGGTCTTGGATTTATTACTTCCATCACTTTTATATTTTTGGTTGGAATTTTCATGTCATCATGGTTAGGAATTTCACTTCTCACCCTTGGTGAATGGTTCATCAAGAAAATGCCTTTAGTAAGCTACATATATGTTGCTTCTAAACAAATAAGTGTAGCAATATCACCTGGTATATTTCTCTACACTTTCATCTAACTCTATATCATTATTTTCATGTTTTTTTAGCAAACTTTAAGCTTTGTTAATTAATTCACAGATCAAAGCTCAAATGCTTTCAAGGAAGTTGCGATCATAAGACACCCTCGTGTTGGTGAGTATGCAATTGGGTTCATCACTTCTTCGGTGATACTAAGGAATAGAGATGATGATGAACTATTTTGTGTTTACGTTCCCACCAATCACTTGTACCTTGGAGATATTTATCTCATTAGCCCAAATGATATTCTAAGACCAAATTTGTCTGTTCGAGAAGGAATAGGTACGAATGTTCTTAATTCAATGAAGTTAAATATGTTTTTAGTTCTAAACTGTAACGTGAAATTGAAGTCCTTGTTTACTTGAATGGATTTGGGGAAGAGTGATTGGATGAATTTAAGAGGATTTGAAAGTAAATCTTTTGTTGTTTATTTGAGTTGATTTTGGAGGTAAGTGAGAGTGAATTTGGAAGTAAATTTTTTTAATTTATCATATCAATCAAATTCTACACTAATTCTCACAAACTTTACTTCCAAATTCACTCTCACTTACCTCCAAAATCCACTCAAATAAACAACAAAAATATTCACCTTCAAATCATCTCAAATTCATTTAATCACTCTCCCTATCCATTCAAGTAAACAAGGACAAAATGTTTTTTATCTTAAATTTTGATATAATTTGTTTCTCAAATCAAATTTTTATGTTGACGTTTTAGTTGGTTTTGACGTATTCCAACTCAAATGTCATAAGAGAAAATAATTAGATTAAAATGATTATATTTATTTATTGTTGAAGTTTGACTAAAATATATTAAAGTTTACGACAAAAACGAATTTAAATTTCACAGTTTAAGAATTACAAACATCAATCGATGGTTTTTGTTCTTTTCTTACTATTATTTTACATGTTATTATTGTGATGCAGAAATTGTTATTTCTGGTGGCATGTCAATACCTAAAATATTAACGATCGTGGATGCTCATACCAATTTTGCACCTAGAAAGGCAACATATGCATCAAAAGTATAATGACGACAGTGTATTTTATGTTAAGAGTAGTTCAACTTTAGATTTTCCTTGACCTTAATTAGTAAATATGTTTTTTATTTTTTTATCTATATATTTAATCGCTCAACTATGTGCTCTATGTATGCTTAAAAATATTTGCAAAACTTCATTCATATTAATCGAATGGTTAACATGATGTTTAGTTTAGGCTATCGTTAACACATATATAAAAAGTATTTCCTGGCCCACATAATTAATTTTAGTTAAATAAAAACACTAGAAATATAGAATATAACAATAGTAATTATGAGTATAAAACATTTAAAGTATTTAAACAAAATTAACGTAGATGATAAGTGGTCAATAGGGAGAAATCTTCATTTGAATGAAAAGTTTTAAAAACATTGTCCTCAAATTTTATTATCATCTCACATGACACACAAATCAAATCTTCAAAATAAAAATCTCTATATACCATATTTTTTGGACATAACATTTACAAACTCTTAAAATTTACACATTCATTTTATTTACATCTTAGAAATTTTTAAAATTTACTATCTATAAACTTTAGTAAAGTTAATATTTTTATTTCAAAATTTCCCTCCAACTTTTGTTTAGGTCTAATAAGATGGGTTGTGACCCGCAGGTCAGTCCGCCAAAACAGGATGGATCAGATTGAAATTTTTAATCTGTTGGTCTGTTTTTCCTCGTCCCACCTAGCTTGTAAAATTGATGGGGATTAGTCCATCCCTACCTGACCCGTTTTGTTTTTATTTTTCATTTTTTAATTTAAAAATTAGAATTAAAAAGATTAAATTTTCAATGTTATATTTTTGTAAAAAAATAAATATAAAATATTATTATTATTTAAACCATTAAAGCTTACAAGTAATGTTATGATTATTAGTTTAATAAAGTAATTTATAATTTATCTAATTAAAAATATTAACTAATTAGTTAAAAGTTTGAAAAATATTTATGACTAAAAATATTTTGAATATTTATTTACAAGTATATATACAAACAAATTTTAAAATTAAAAATTACAAAAAAATGAAAAAAGTGGCGGGCCAGTTTGCCGTAAACGGGCCAAGTTGACCCTATTTGCCACCCTTACTTTAATTGTTTTTCAAATCAGAATTTTCTTTAACAATCTCAACATGTAAACGTCTATGGCTAAGTTATTAATTAATATTTCTAACATTTTCACATGCAAAAGTAGAATGACATGTTAATAGGAGAGCTATTTACAGCTGAACTCATATCTCATATATGTATTTTTGATAATGACAACAAAAATATTTTATAGTTTCTTGCATTACAATATGGCGAAACTGTTGCTTGATTATATCTCTGTATGTGCTTGAACTATATGTGATGTGTATTCATTACTTATAATAATGAATCATTGATTAAAACACTTTGCACATTGCTTATCTGTATGAATTAATGGATTACACTGTTTGTATAATCTGTTAGATTCATCATATATCAGTATATACTTAACTGTGGCAAAACATCACGTTTTAACCGATTAGATTATGGATATAATCGATTAAAACTCGTGGTTATGCCTACACATGTTTTACTTAGTGCATTGATATGTTTTGAATGAAAAAGTTTTCAAAATTTGCTTAAGTATGGAACTTAACCGATTATATTAATTTCTTAATCGGTTAATATGCGTTGTGTATGAAACCCTTTTTCATAAATAGCATTAACTGTCTTAACGATCATATTTTTAAATATTATGGTTTATGTGTTTTGATTAATCGATTACATGTACTTCTTAATCTGTTAAATGTTGTGAAATGTAAATCTATTAATGCTGAAGGAATTGCTTACCCGATTACATTGTTTGTGTAATCGATTAAATTGTGTCGAAGTTGAGAAAATCTATAAATAGATGCATTGCTATCTGTATTCAACAACTTTATGATTCATATTTTTAATATCTAACTTTGTTTGTTGAGATTTTATTACAGGAGCGTCTGAAACTCTCCAAGAATCAAGACTACCACATTTGGAAGAAATTCTCAAAGATTCTTGATGAATTGAAGAATTGTCATTGGCTGATCATATCTGAACTATTGAGGTGTATTTTCTAGAGATCAGATTTACTTGCAATCAAGGATTGTGTTCCTTGTTGCTGCGACCAGGAAGAGAACTCGGTGGAGTTCTTTGACTTAGAGTATGATATCTCTAAGGGTGACAGAAATAGGGTATTTTTTCTGGGTTGCTATAGTTGATTTGGAGTTAGGAAGGAGACTACATTGAAAGGAGTGATCTCTGTATTTCTTGCTTGTAAGAACTTAAATCAATATAGTGGAATTCTTTCAATCTAATAAGGTTGGTTGAAAGAAGAATGGATGTAGGTAGTGGCCGAACCAGTATATTTCACTTTGTGAATCTCTCTTTCCCGATACTTTTGCATTATTATTCATTCTTTATTGATTCCATTCCAAGAAAGATCAAAAGATTTCAAAAAGATTTTCAAAGCACTTATTTTTACAAGGGAAACCAATTCACCCCTTCCTCTTGGTTGGAACATTTGGCCTAAACTATTTCTGCAAGACATCACAAAATAGGTTACTTACTTATAACTTAACTTTTAGATTAAAATTAGTTTTTCTTTTCCAGAATTCCTTATACTTTGAAGTAAAAAGTAACAAATAAATAAGTCATTAATCTCTTCATTGTGTCAAATCCTAACCATAACCATTGTTGACAGGGGGAGCATTAGACTCCACATATTTCAAAGATTTTAAAATCTAATTCACCCCCTCTTGGCTTGAGATATAAGGGTTACTTTTCTAACAACCATAACGCATAATCAAAATCTCTTGAAACTTCAATATACAAACTAAAAAAAAAATCAAGGTTAACTCGCGTAGTATTTGAAGTAAAAGGATAAAAGTTTTGATCCTTGGAAAGTCACAGATATACCCTTACATCCTGGAAGTTCACATTGAACTCATGTACTCGTGAAGTTTTTGGTTTCTTTAGACAATAAGGTGAATGTCTCTACGGGTTGTGAATTCCGACAAAGCCTAAAGATTCATCTCATCTCAAATCGCCACGAATTGGGCTAGGGCTCTTAGAGTGACATCTTGATGATTGTTTTACTCTTGCCCCACGATGGATTCCAAATGTTTTATCAGTTCTAAATTTTTGGTTTATAAGACATGTGATGGAATCTTTTGATACATATGCAAGGTAGGTTAGTCCAAACAGAAAAAAAAATCCAATTACAAAATATTTATGATGTTTAAGTAAGTAAAAACTTAAGGTTTATTTACAGTATAAGTGAAAGTATAAAAAATGATTTTGTATGTTATACTTTCTTACGAAACTCTTTATAAACTATGAGATATAGTAATCATGTTTGAATATCTTAAAAATAATAGTAGATAATCATCTAAGAAATGAGGCACAAATAATATATGCATCTATATGCATTGAATATCTACCATTAATAAAGATTGTGAAACTTCAATGAGCATTAAGAAACATTTTACTTTCACTTTTCTTTTTTATATCTATTTTTAGGGATTAGTGACAATATCATTCTTTACAAAACAGTTTTAAATACTGCCTTACAAAAAATCATGTTTTTATTTTTGATTATTCCATATTGAATCTCTAGTCTCACTCAAGTTAGTTAAGTCCATTTAGTTTGTGGGGCTCTATATGCTTTCTAATTTTCTCTCCTTTCGTTCCTTTCTCTTTTGGTATAATCTCTTTTTTTTAATTTAATAAATTTTAATAAGTCAATTATTATTTAAATATTTTTTAAATAAGATACAAAGTCAAAATGTTACATTAATCATATATATTAATTATAACAGAAAATAATAAGTAAATTATTAATACTTTTTTATTACTAAATATTTTCAAGGGTAAAAATGTATATCAATTATTTTTCTATAAATTGATGTTTAGCCTTCACGAAACAGCATAAGTGAGATTCACCTTTTGCAGAATTTCATAATCTTAAAGATAACTTAGAAAAGAATTATGGGGAAAATTGAGATAAAATCTATTGGGGTTATGATTACGATTATGATTTTGTTAAATTTTGCAAAACCCGTATTAAGTGTTAGTTTTTTATGTGATTTCAAGTGTAGAATTCGATGTTTTTTTGCTGGAATTTCCGAAGGCTTGTTTGAAACATGTATGGGTCATTGTGAGTCACACCATTGTAGCCAATTATCCAATCATCCTTTTTATAATTGTATAAGTGATTGTAACTTAATGAAGTCTAACGTTATCAACGATGGTACGTATTATTAAATATGTTGTTCTATCATGGTTATATATTGTTTTTTTGATGCTTTATTTTAATATTTTTTTCTCATGAATTTTATATTTTATTTGCTTGTTTATGAATTTGACCATTTATTTTACATGTTTTTCAGGTGGTACTTATATTGTGAACAATGAGATGAATAATTGTGTACAAAAATGTAAAAAAATATTATAATTTATAGTAAGAAAAAATTATTAGAAAATATTATATTCCTACTTGATAATAAGAAATAAAATTTGATCAATAAAAAGTATTTGTTATTTATTTTCATTTTTTTTCTTTTAATTACTTCCCTTATCTTTTTTATTCTTGCAACTAATTAATATAATTAAATAAATTAAAACTTAAGCATATATTAATTTAACTTATTTTTTTAAATGAATATAATTCATTTAGAAAATCGCATACAACACCCGTCATTTTAATAATATTAAGACTCTGTTGAAAATAAAACACAATACAGAAAACCAGAACCCTAATTATTAATTAAATTAAATTTGAAGCTTCGATTCATTCTCATTCTTCATACAACAGTATTAATTTTAGTAATTATAAGTACAAAACATTTAAAGTATTTAAACAAAATTAACTTAGAAAAACATGTTAAGGTTTTCTTGCGTAAGAAATATTCTGCTTGAATTTTCCATTTACTCTTGACAATAACTTAGTTTAGATGACAAATGATCAATTGAGAGAAAAAAAATTTTGACAGAGAAGTTTTAAAAACATTGTTCTCCAATTTTATTATCACCTCACATGACACAAATCAAAATCAATGAGACTTATCAAGGTCGATTCTTCAAAAAAAAATCTCTATATACCATATATTTTAGCTAGAATATTTACAAACTCTTAAAAATTTTATACATTCATCTGATTTATATATTAAAAATTTCCAAAATTTACAATTCATAAACTTTAGTAAAAATAATATTTTTATTTCAAAATTTCGCCTCAACTTTTATTTAGTGGAGACAAAATGGGTTGTGGCATGCTAACCAACCCGCAAAAACAGGACAGACTAAATTGAAATTTTCAATCCGTTAGTTTGTTTTGTCTCGTCCACACCTAGTCTGGCAGGTCAAAGATTACCCGTTTTATTTTTTCATTTTTTTTAATTTCAAAATTAGAATTAAAATAATTAAAAAATTTAAATTTTCTATATTATATTTTTGTAAAAATATAAATATCCAATACTATTATAATTTAAATTGTTAACACTTACAAATTAAGTTATAATATTAGTATAATATGTCGGAACAATCGGTACCGTTATAGAGTCGTGCAACGGAATAAAATATAGATAGCGGAAAGCGTGTAACGATCACAACACAAGTTAAAATATGTGCTAAGAGTTTAGGGATCAAGAAAATCAAGACAGAATTTTTATCCTGGTTCGAATCAAAAGATTCTACGTCCAGTCATTAATCACTATAAATAGTGATTAACCTTTTTCACTAAAAATATAGTTTGCATATTACAATCAGATAATCAAAATAAGCAAAGAATAGAAAACACCTTCCTTCGACAAACGAACGGAAGAACCTGCTCAGCCAACTTGAAAAGAACCGCTCCGACCTTTGACACACAAAACGCGAGCTTCTCCTATTCACAAGACCAGGCAAGAGCACTCTATCACTTTGAGAACTTCCTCAGACAAACTATATTCTCAAAATGGCATAGATCCTTTTCACTCACAGAGAGCTTCCCTTAGGCACAAAGCTCTAATACTCTCAATTGAAAAGTTATTTCTAAGAGCTGTGAAGACCTCTATTTATAAGCCTAGTTTCGTGCAAGGTCAAAAACTAAAAAAACATCTCCCAACTGCCACTGATAATCGATTATCATAAGTGATAATCGATTATTTGTGTCCGTTATGGGGTTTTCAAAATGGTGATAATCGATTATCCTGAGCAATAATCGATTATTCCAGAGACTTGGACAGAATTAAATAAAACAGTGATAATCGATTATTCTGTGTAATAATCGATTATTTGCGCAAGCAACTCTCTTCTAAATTGGCTTGTGATAATCGATTATTACTCTTGATAATCGATTATTTGTGCAATGACTCACTAAATATGAAAACTTCTAAGAGTTTTTACATCATTACATTTTATCCTATACATTTGTTTCTACAAAATGCGTTTAACAAAGATGCATTTAGAGTCTTCAATTCTTCAGCTTTTATCATCATCAAAATTTCACTGTAGCTTCAAGATACCAATGCTCCTCATTGGTAACATAATAGAGTACTTTTTAATTTATCTAATTAAAAATATTAATTAATCAATCCATAGAAGTGAAAGTATAAAAAATGATTTTGTGTTATACTTTCTAACTGAACTGTTTATATGTGTCAGAACGGCGTGGTTAATGCGTTCAACAAACCAAAAGAGGAGTGAATTGGTTTCTTATCACAAATAGTTCTTTTAATAATTTTCTCACATAAATATAAATTCCTTAAAATAATTAAACAAATTTAAAAAATAAGGAAGAGAGAACAATAAATAACGTTGCACTAGCACAAACCAACAAACTATTACAATTACAAAGAAAATAAAATAGTTTAATGTTAGAACACCTCTCTTGTTACACCAAGAGATGAAAGTCACTTCCCGTGTAACCCACAATGGATGAACACCTCCTCTGAATCTTTACAAAGGATGAACACCTCTTCTGAATCTTCACAAAGGATGAACACCTCCTCTGAATGCTTCACGAAGGATGAACACCTCCTCTGAATGCTTCACGAAGGATGATAGGCTTTTAACTCAGCAACAACAACACTCAACCACACTCCCTGTGAAAGTTCTCGCTCTATGCCAACAACAACAACACTCAATCACACTCCCTGTGAAGTTCTCACTCTGTGCCAACACGCCAAGTTCTCAAAGCCATAGCACAAGGATT